TAAGAAAGGATGTATTTAGAACATGTGGAGGGAAAAGAAGTACTCCACCATTAACAGACCTTGAAGAAAAGGTCTTATCATTAATTGGAAACGAAGAATTTGGCTTGGAAGAAGAAAATTTATTTGAGCTTGGAGTTTGCAGTACAAGTTCTCTTGAACATTTACATGATGTAAGTAATACCTTTTTATTTATCAAGAGAACTTATACTCCAAGCTCGAATAAATTTTCTTCTTCCAAGCCAAATTCTTCGTTCCCAATTAATGTAAGTAATACCTTTTTAAGGTTCAAGAGAACTTATACTCCAAGCTCGAATAAATTTTCTTCTTCCAAGCCAAATTCTTCGTTCCCAATTAATGATAAGACTTTTTCTTCAAGATCTGTTAATGGTGGAGTACTTCTTTTTCATCCATCTGTTCTACATATACCTTTTCTTAAAGCAGCCGCTTTCATTTTAGTTCGGGAACGCCACTGATTCCATTTTATTTTTAATGGTTTCACTTCGATCAGTTGACCATTAGCTAGACAGTTGACTTTATCCCTAACTTCTTGCCATCCATCCCGCAAAGTATTTTTGGAAATATTCCCGTCCAATTTTCCTTTAACTAAATATGGACGCTTTTGAAGCTCAATTATCAAAATTTCTATCTGTTCTGAGGATAACATAAGTTGAGACATTCTGTTGATTACCTCGTGCCGTATCACGTGCTCTATATTTTTGTATTCTGCACTTTCGAAAATTGTACAATTTCATTGGTTAAAATTCTATACCGTGTTGTGCGCGCAGATAACCCGAACATGTATAATCAACTGAATAGAATCGTGACATCAAGGACAAAGACGAGATTGTTTCGAACGACCAGAATCGCCACTTTGTACGAGAGACAACTTTCGTCTCTCGCTTTGACGTCACTTGTCGGTGAAAGAAGAAACGAGAGATAAGTGACCAGAATACGGGCCCTGCTTGAAACATAGCACTATATTTGTCATCATGAGAACTATCTGGCCATCTAGCTACTATATTTCTGATTCTAAGTTGGCTATCTAAAACTGTCTGAACATTAATAGAAAAATAGAAAAGAATATTTCAAAATAATTCAGCAGTTTCTCCTCCTGGTGACTGAATTGGAATGTGGGTGCAGTCAATGGCTCCATACGAATGTGAAATCCGGAATTTTTACCGAATTTTCCGATTAATATCCCACATTTTTCTAAACCCCCAATTAAATTTTCCTTTAAATTCTGAACTAAAACCTAACTTAAAAAAAGGGAAAAATTCCAATCTCTCCTTTCATGCAAAGTAAATATCCATTTCCCACACTAATTCCTCATTCCAACTCTAAAGTTGATAGTTAGCAGGAGCCCGGGGACAACTTTGACCCATCCGAGTACCTTTTACCTCACAACAATCGGCCACATGACCATTCTCCCATGACGAACTTATAAAAACCCCTTCCTTCACCTTTTCCGGGGAGTCGTTCAAGAACAGGCGCAAGCGAAGATAACTGAAAAGAAAATAGTGTCTGTTTCCTACCCCGTAGAACTTTCCTCAACTGGATATTGGATAATTTTTCCTCGTTTGGATAAAACAATAAGTAAAGAGGTATGGAACCAATTACTGTAAGCTCTCTCTCGGCCGCTCCGCGCCTTAGGGACACGAACTAGACGCTGTACTACTCACCATTAGATTTAATAAATTGTTGTTTCTTGTTAAATTTTGCCTCTTCGTTTACTTGTATATCGTCCATCCCCTTACCGACGGCACTCCTCCCTCCACCACTTGATCCGAACAATTAATCCCGTTACAGCGGGAAAAAGGGAAAATTTTGCCATTTTGACAGTGATCAGGTTTCACAACCTGTCGCTGGACAGGGAGACCTTCAACTCTCCCCGGCGGTTCACACACACATAGAAAACCACTCAAATGAAAAAAGTCTTGACTTATCTGAAAATATAAGTATATACTTGATCTATTATAGTTCATACTTTGAAAAGTAATGTATTAATTAAATGAATAAAGATTATATATAACTTGTAAAAAAACTAGTAAAAAAATAATTTTATCTTTAGTAGCGAAAGATAAAGGGATATTAGGCCTACTTGCTTCCTTTCAGATTATATCCAGCTGCCTAAAAAAAATCTGCTGAGATTTGAGCAATTAAAAAACTGACTCTATTAATCACTCTACAAGCAGATGATTGACTTAAATCATTTAAATTGCCTACGACCATCTGAAATGGTCCCATGGCATAAAAACATAAAGCCAACAACAGTTGTTCCATCGGCAACATCGCATAATTTTTCAATGATGTTGAAACTAAATTGTGACCAATTTGTTCTAGTAGGTTTCTTACGCTTTCTTTTGGCAAACAATATCAACATAGAAAGTTGTAATCGTCTGAGTGTTCAAGGTCATTTCTTCATGGAGAAATAATCCGCTGACTTCTTCGTTCCATACGATCTATATAATCTAGATATTTCAGATTTTCTAGCATCTCGGCTTTGTCCTCGTCGAATGTCTCCATTTTTCCCTGAAATAGATCACTTTGCGCAGGCGTCAAACCTACAGTTAGAGTTAGGATTATTGTGTTTGACTCGAGATTCGGAGTTGGTGAATACCAATTTACCAATAAGTCGAGAGTTAACCCTAACTCTAACTCGCGTTGGTGAATACGGGGGTAAGAGTATTTAGTCCAGCTATCTGTAGATTGATATGGGAGCTGTTATTGCTGAGCTGCAGGCAGTGGTGCAGTACGGACAGGGGAGATAAGGGAAGAGTGGAGGGGAGGCATAGTAGAGTGTTACACATCTTTCACAATTATATTTATGTGGGGGAGAGCCCCAAGGAGGGATTTGGCTTTAGGTGGAAAACCTGGTTATAATATTGTAAGTTTAGATACAGGGTGTACTGAGTACTAAAGACATTTATGAGTATTTGTAGTGTTGAGAGATAAAGTGATATGTTAAGTTTTTGCTGGGGAAAAACACCCAAACCCCATTGAGGGGAAATGGGCATAGGGACAAGGGCCAAATATAGTAATGTGGGAGATTAGTCAGTATTGAGTGTAGAATGTTTTAAAGTGTAAACTAATACATGCGTTAGTGAAAAAGGGAAGAAACCCAGAATTTAAAGTTAAAATGTGTGCAAAGCTCAAACCCCCAACAATGGATTTCGGCTAGAGGATAAAGTGCTATTTTTTGTTATTGTAGGTTTAATTTATAGTAGGTGTGCAGAGGACTGGGAAATTTTTATGGGTGTTTGTGTTGTTGAGGAATAAAGAATAAGTTAGGTTTTGGTCAGTGATTTCGGCCTAAAACCCATTCAGGGATTTGGGCTGAAACAATACTATGGAGTATTAATGTATTTTGAGCGTAAAGCACTGTATTAGAATCTGTGTTAACAAACCCATATGTTGAAGTCTAACAAGTGTGCAAAGCCCAAATCCCCAATGAGTGATTTGGGCTAGAAGAGAGAGAGCTATTTTGATATTTTAATTTATAAGGAGTGTACAGAGAACTAGGATAATTGGTGAAAATTTTATGTTGTTTAGGGATAAAGTATTAAGCTAATTCTTGGTTAGTGATTAATTAAGACACAACGATGTGCGAGGTTAAGGAATTTGAGTGTATAGTGTTTTAGTGTGTCTACTAATATTTGTATTAATAAATAAGGGAAGGAACCCAGATATTACAATTTAAATTGTGTGGAAAGCCCAAAATCCCTCATTGGTGATTTGGGCTAGAGAAGAGTCAATTTTGATGTTGTAAATTTAATTTTTAAAGGGTGTAAAGAGTACTAGAAACATTTGTTAATATTTGTATTGCTGAGAAGTGAAGGAATCCTCCGAAAATAATACTACACGACGTTCACTAAATATGTAGGCCTAACAGTTGGTGGAGACAAAGCAGTTTTCTCTTTCGCTTAAATTGTTCGGTTTTTCCGGAGAGGTTCAGCATAGCGGGATGCCGTCTGAGGAGGACTTGAATTCGAGCTAATTATCTAATTACAGTCGCTATTCAAAAGTAGTCATATAATCTACTGAGAATTCTTTTATCTTTTGCTGAATAAAACTCCATATTTTTAATGAAGAAATATTTATCCAATTGTAGTTATGAAGAAATGTAAACGATCAGTTTTAAATTAAAAGCTTATACATAAGAACAACATATATATTAGTTATTTAATAAAATGATTCATTCGATTTTTGTAATAAATCGAATCTTATTAATTAAATAACTAAGAAAAGTTATTCAATTATTGCTGATAAAACTTTCTCTAAAATGGGAATATTTGAAAAATCATCTAATTTCACTTGAATATTTCCAAAACACACATAATTTGTTGGAAATGATCGATATAAAATATGCTATAAACAAAAAATTGTCGAAATACTTAAGTGTACCCCGTTTGAATACGCCATTGCTTAAGCTTGTTTTCGTCGTGGAGCATCACATCAGACGGCAGATGTGCGTGAAGCATGTCACGTGACATTTGTCGGTGCTATTAGGTCACGTGACTGCTCATCTCTGACTTTTTTAACTACAATTTTTTATTTAATTTAACATAAATGCTCTCTTCTTAAATTAGTAGTGGTTTTCTCCTGTAAAAAATACTCTTCCTTTAACAGTATAGTCCTGCTGGTCATTGATAAACTGCTTTAATTAAGAATCCTATGGTTTTGCCAGAAAACACTGCCAGTCAGCCATCCTACTTAATAATGCATGCTAGCATGCTACTGGAGAAAAACCTTTGTCAAAATGTTCCCTTTTTTTGATTCAGAAGTTATTTGAATCAAAGATCGGACACCTGAAAAAAACACAAAAATTGAGGTCAGGAGACCTACTTGTAGAAACTGCCTCACCTCAACAGTCGACAAAACTTCTAGCTGCAAAGAAATTGGGAGACATTGAAGTCACAGTCACACCACATGGAAGTTTGAACTCATCACGTGGTGTGATATCTGAGTTTGATCTGATGTCTGAAGATGAATCAGATATTCAGATGAACCTTAAAGACCAAGGCATCACTGCTGTCCGACGTATCTCCATTCATTGGGATAGCAAGTTAATACCAACCAAACATTTAATTCTCACCTTTAACAAGCCGATATTACCAACTTCCATTACTGCAGGATACCTGCGCTGTCCAGTTCGTCCATACATTCCAAATCTGCTGCGTCGTTTTAAATGCCAGCAATTTGGACATTCTCAAACATCCTGTCGAGGGAAGAACATATGCACACAGTGTGGAGTTAAAGGTAACCAGAGTACTGAGTGTACCACTACTCCATGCTGTGTGAATTGCAAACACACATATCCCGCCTACTCCCGCAAATGCCCTGCATGGCAGACAGAAAAAGAAATCCAGCGGGTAAAAACAGTAAACAACTTACCTTACCCAGAGGCCCGTCGTATGGTCACTTCAAGTGCACCACTATAACAAAAGACATTTGCTGCTGCTTTGAAATTCACAAAGACATGTGGAGTACAAATTGACATTTCTGTTTCCCCAAAGGAATCTCTCACTCGGCATGCGAAATGTTTACTGATTCCATCAAAAAAAACACCAGAAAAGGAGAGTATAAAACCAAAAACACTCCTACAGAAAACAGGGGTTATAACAAGAAACCTGGGTTCAAAAAAGGCTAGTAAGAACCCAATAAACACGCAGAGAGTGAAAGTGGCTCTCTCTAAATGTAAAAAATCAGAAGCCCACTCTATGAGTGAGTTTTCTGATATCTCTGATGAAGAGACTAATCAGGAGGTAACAAAACCAACATCACCTCCAAAAGAAAAACCCCCTGTTAGATTAAAGAGAGATACTCTCACAAAGAATGTTGCCTCAAACATATAATGGGTTATAAAATAACCCAATGGAACTGTCGTGGTTTCCGCAACAACTTCTCTGACATCTGACATTAAACACTTGACATCATTTACCCAATTTCTGTGCGTGGCACTCCAGGAAACCCATCTAAAACCTGGAGAAAATATTTCTTTAAAAGGATTCAATCTCTACTGCAAGGATGATGATAGCCACAACCGTGCCAGTGGAGGTGTGGCTATTCTGGTTTCCAATCACATCCCATCCTTGCCGGTACAAATAACCACTGATTTGCAAGCTGTGGCAGCCAGAATTTCTATTGGAGTAACTGTCACAGTTTGTTCTATATACTTGCCACCAGATGTCAGAGTCAATGAGAATGAATTGGATTCCCCTTTCTAATATCCT